TTAAGTAAAGCCATGTGGTAGAGGGAGTTAGCAATAGCAAGCAGCAATAGCCAGCATGGCTCACCTGCTGAACACATTGTGCTGTGTCCTGGTTGGGAAATGTGTTATTTCAAGCCCAGTCTACACGAGTTGTTTTTTTAAAAGTGTACATTATTTTTTTTTTTTGCAGAGATGTTACATGTATGTATGGCCTATGTTTAGATTGATGCTAAAAGTTTCACAGTGTATTTGTATGCATTTTAGAAGGACTCTATTGGTCATTCACCACATCATGGTCCAGTTTGAATATGGATTTAAAGTTCTTTTCAACGTGAGACCATAGTCTGGACTATTTTTGATTGTTCCTGGTTAGGAAGAGTCTGGTGTTTAAGAGGTGTGGCGTGTTTTCATTACAAGAATGGATTTAAAGTTCTTTTTGACGTGGGACCATAGTCTGGACTATTTCTGACTGTTCCTGGTTAGAAAGAGTCTGGTGTTTGAGAGCCGTGGCGTGTTTTCATTACAAGAGGTTGGATTATTCATTTGCTATCAGTCAACTTCAGCTATGGACCATTGATGTACTACAGATAAGCACACATCAACTTTCACATGACGAAATCCTACAATCTTACATTGCTTTGTTTGTTTTCTTTTTTTTTTGTTTGTACTTTTGTGTATTTACATTTTTGGCTATATGTAGCTGTATTAACCTGAATTGAATGTTTTCTATTTTGTATTTAATAAATCCATTGATTTGAAATCCCTTTGACTACTGTACATTTTTGACAATACAGACATTAGTTATGTGGTGACTGCATCAATTTCAGATCTATAATAACAGTTTTTTTCCAAAGACTTAAGTTATAGTAACTGGAAATTATTTAAAGTGAAACAGATGTATTGTTGTAGATTAATAGTGCGGGCCCTGTGTGGGCATAGTGAGGGCTTCCCGTGCAGGGCCAGCGCTAAGGGGCCAACGTTTTGCCAATGAGCAAATTCTCAGGGGCCCTGCGCTGGCAGCCCGCTGGGGGCCCTTAGGCTTGCCCTAAGTGGGCCCGTAAAGGGCCACTGCAGGCTTGTTTGCAGGGTAGCCTTATAGCTTAGCCGGTCAAGTGAAATACTGCAGATCCACTTTTCAGGAAAGCATTCAGGAAATTGTTTCATAATCAAGGATCTGATGAAAATTACCTGCTGCGAACTCTTCAATAGTCATGAGGGGGAAGCGAATAAGGGAAAGAGCTTTTCCCAACACTCTACGCTTGTTCTCCGGCGTGGGCTGTAACTGTTGCCTTTGGGCCTCAGCTTCTGCCCAACGAACCGCAGCCCCGAAGAGGCGCACTTCCCGCACCCCCAGCGTATCTCTCTCCAGGACTGCCATGAGGGTGTCTGCACCGGAGGGAACATAAAACACTATTTCTGACTCACTCTTCTGACTGTATTTTGTTGTGAAATTTGATACTTAAGAGCAATACCGAGGTCGACATCCGTGAAGCCCTCGGCGGCTAGCGCATCAGCAGTGTTCTTGTCGATATTTTCTAAGCAGAGACTAGCCAGCTGGGGCTCGTCAAAAAGCCGTGCCTGAAAGCAAAAGGAACCATGTTTTCATATAATCTATAATAGACTGCGCGCAAAAAAAGCAGACAACTAACACACTCAATAAGCCGGAGGCGCTGTTTGCTAGGATTTGAAGGGGAGCTGTCAAACATGGGGACTCAAAATGGCTGGGGAACAAACTTGAAACAAAGGTGCCGTCCAATATGTCAGTTCCTAGTGCCAATATCAACTCGGACTCAAAGCCCTGTGATTACCTGGGTAAGCAACATAAACGCATTGTCAGCACGTAGGTTTTTCTTTAAGAATTCGACGCAGTGGGCTTCGAGAGCAGGTACTGCGTACTTTTTGGCTGAATATAGTGTGGTCATAACGGTCTCTGGTCCAATTTGCACTTCATCAGAGTATAAAAATCTGCAATTGCAAGAGGGAAAAAAAATATTATAGACTTGCTGATTCACAGAAAGACATAAATAAGCTGTCAAAGAGATAGATAGATAGATAGATAGTCAGGCACAGACATAAAAAGACATACATTATTGATCCCTGTTTAATTGTTGGTTTGAGACTAGTTATTACGTCTGTCCACAATGGCTAGTATATTTTAAAGTTCTGATTTATAACAAACATTTACCACAGTAACTGTTTATTTCAGTCAAAATATCATAGCTCTAGCCAGCACAATTATTTAAAACTAACAAAGAATCCAAAAGCTTCCTTACACTGTTGTAGGCTACTAGTAGGAACAGAAACTGTATGCTATATCGGCAGAAATCACGTGTATATGCCATGGTAAATGTTTGCAAGGGTCTGCTGACCGCAGTTACATGGCAGAGGGCATCTGAAGGACGTTATGACAACAGGGGTCAACACACAGAACAGCAGGACATAGCATTAAGCGTGCAGCGCAGCATTCCGCGGCCCATTCTTACTTGAGAAGGGCTAGAAATGCAGCCGGTTCCACATCTGGCAGTTCAATTTCGGTCGACGTTGTTGCCATGCCACCGTTGAACATGGCATCAAACACGGCACTTCCCACAGCGAGAGCAAATCTGCGAAGAGCAACGGGACCGGACTGTAAATACGGCCATTTGAGGATTAAATATGGATTTATCCTCGCCGAAACAAATGCTTTAGTTTATATTCATCGAGCGTGAGAGTTTGCCATAAGCTTAGTTTATTGCAATATACAGAATGATTAAAAAGACTCCAGTAAAACATACAAACAGACCGCTATTCATCCCTACCTGTGCGCTGGAATGCGCTGCACTCCCATTCCCTTCCCAACCAAAAAATGGACGTCACTTAGCACTTCGTTGTTAAACAAAAATGCAAACCTTTCTTTCACTGTACTTTTTGTCGCTTGCCAGTTGTAGACCGGCTCTCGATAAACCAAAACTGAAGCCGGGCTGCTGGGAAGCGAGGAGATGGCGGCGGACGCGTCGGCGGAGGAGGATGCGGTAGACGCGGATGAGGATGAGGAGGATGATGATGGTGTCGCCGTCATGTTTGACGCAGCGCCTGAAGTCGCTCCGCTCGGACCGACCGACTGCCGGGGAGGGTTCTGCGCGCTCGGCGTGCTTCTCACCGCAGACTCGGCGCCTCCGCCGTTCTCCGGGCCCGACCGGGGATTCGAGTTCCCCGCGCTCCGGTTCATCCCAACGGCTGCACCCACGGCTCCCCCGTTGCTTGCGGGTGAGGAATGGGCGCTGTTGCTCGGCGGTGCATTGCCAAGTGGCCCCGAAGTAGACAAGTTTAGACATGAGGATCGGCTATTGCTTTCACCCGCAGCCATCTTGGATGGTGAACACTGCAGGCTTTGCTGGAATAAACATACACAACAGCGCATAACCAGAAATACTGGCCAAATGACTGCCTTCACACGAGAGACTCGAACATCATCGAGCCCCTTTTAATTGACTTGGCCTTCCTGCCTACAATTAATTTTAGTTTTCATTTTTAGGATGTGACAGTTTTATTCTCTAGCCAATGCTTTATTGTAGAGGAGGCAGGTGTTCGTGGAAATTTTTCATTTTAGGAAGTGTGATTGTGGAAAGTGGCATGAAACTAAGAGAGTATATTTTCCCACATGGCAAAAATTAAGTGTTTGAAATTATCTAAACCATATGAGAAATGTAAATGTTAACAGTTATGTTAAATATAACTGTAGGATCAATCAACGAGTGCAATTTTTCAGATTCTTATTTTTTTTTTTTTTTTTTTTTTTTTTTTTTTTTTAAGTAAATAATTTCCAATAAATGTTTTTTTTTTTTCATTATTAGTCTATTATGAAAAGACATATAATTTGATGGTCCCCGTTGTAATAGAAATGTATGTGAATTATAAATTGTGAATTATGTAAAATCTTAAATCACAATTTATTCGTTCATTCCTTCCTTCCTTCCTTCCTTCCCCCGTTGGCTAGATATCTGTTTAGTGTAAAATCTTACTGCAAACCAGTGAAATAATATCATTAACAGCAATTGACACAAGCACTTTTGTAATGCCTATTACAATAATATTGATAATGAAATAATAATAATAATACAAGTTTAGATACAAATAATTATAAAAAAAATATATGATGAATTAACATCATGGAGTAGTGTAAACAATATATTGCTGATCTTAATAATAGTTTGCCTTGACTTCAGTACAGTGACAATAAAATTATTTAATTTAGGAAATTTTCTTTCTAAAATCATATTTAATTATTTCTCCCACAGTATACATTTTGTATTTACTAATCTACAGTAATATGATTTTACTACAGAGCCATAATTAGGCTATAAGTGCTGTTGTAATTTACTGCAAGTGTAATAAAGCCATGATTAACTTTGTAGTGGTTTTATGGCAAAAAATAAAATAAAATAGTTAAACCATGGTTACTGTAGTAAAACCATGGTTAATTTTCGTGAGGGTCTTATTTGGCACTTGGAAGACACTAATAAGTATTTATTTAAATTCCAAGAATTTGTATCTGACGTACAAGTGTAAATTCCCAACAATCTCTAGCCTATAAAATTATTTAATAGGCTGCTACCTTATCATGAAACACTGGAAAGATGCTGGAAAAGTCAAGGAAAATCATTGGATATTCATTTATGTGATACATCTACGTTTTAAAGACAATTTTGTTTGGATTAAATAACTTTGATGGAAGAAAATAAAAGGGTACATGTACGAAAATATGACTTAATTGATTCATATATCAATATTATTATATATTCACTCCATAATTAGTGGCCCAACTGTTGAATATAATTGAGTAAGTTAGTCATAGCAGAAAATGGACAAAACTCTTACATAAAATAACTTTATTTTCAGTCATGCGCAATGCAAATGAAGCGCGATGCCATTCGCCCCGCCTACCCAAACCCGCAAACCAATCAAAACCAGGAAGGAACTGTCAATCAAACCAACGTTTGTCGCTGAGCTAGCGTTTGAGTTAAGAAAACAGGCATTAATTTAGGTAAGTGGAAATATTGTGTATTAAATGCACGGGAGATTTTGATAAATACAAATAGATATGTATGAATATAAATAAAATAATCTCTCGTAATAAGGACGCCATTAATTTATTTAATCTGAGCTTCAACAGAGGCTAGTTAGCCTACTATGCTACTTTAGCTAATAATAATAATAACCGGTGATGCAGAGAAAAGTAATTTTTAAACATTAATGCACCTCAAGCTCTAACTCACATGCATGTTTGTTTGCACATACATCCTACTACATATTTTATGCAAACAAAACACGTAATAAATAAGCCAACAATCTTTATTTAATAATGGCAGTGTTTCCAAACACGATGTCTATCTAGACAGCATTATTTTAGTATTATTAAGATATTATGATAGTTTTTATTCATATTTTTACTTTTTTACGTATGTTTATATTTTCTTTCTTAATTTTAGTTACTTTTTAAGTAATTTTGTTTATTAGTTTTTTTTTTTTTTTATATGTATATATCTAGATAGTTTGTTTATTTTTATTTCGGTTTTAGTTATTTTAGTACATCAAGTTAAACTAAATGAAAATGAGAAATGTTGTCTTGGCAAATAGCTGAAATAAAATAAGTTTATTTAATTAATTTTTTTATTTCAAGTTTATTTCAGTTAACATTTATTATATTTAAAGATAACAAAAATAAATTTTCTACCCTTTTATGTTTGGTGTGTGTGTCCCAGAATTTTCTGAATTCATGTAATGGGTGGTGTAAAGCAAGAGCAAACTGATGCTCCTGCATCTAAAGACTCTCAACACACAGATAATGCACAAGAGGAGGTAAGATCGGGATTCCTTAGACTTCTTCAATAATCTTGTCTATTATATATAACAGAGTACTTCAGCTGTGTAATTGCATCATTGTAAAAGGTTTTGTGGTCAGCATAGTCAAGCACACTCATATTTTCCTCATATGCTCTTCCCATATTTGATTCATATCAATTTGAATTGATTTGTTACAGAACCAATCGACTTCACAGCCAGTAAAGAAGCGAGGCTGGCCAAAAGGGAAGAAGAGAAAGAAGGTGTTACCAAACGGCCCCAAGGCTCCGGTTACTGGTTACGTGCGTTTCTTGAATGAGAGACGGGAACACATCCGAGCACTTCACCCGGATCTTCCCTTCCCAGAAATCACCAAGAGACTCGGAGCAGAATGGAGCCGTTTGGCTCCTCATGATAAACAGGTATTTTTGTGTGTGTGTGTGTGTGTGTGTGTGAATTGACTGTCCTCTTAAAAGAATAGTTCACCCAAAAATGAAAATTAGCTGAAAATTTACTCACCCTCAGGCCATCCAAGATGTAGATGAGTTGGTTTCCTCTTCAGAACAGATTTAGAGTAATTTAGCATTACATCACTTGCTCACCAGTGGATCCTCTGCAGTGAATGGGTGCCGTCAGAATGAGAGTCCAAACAGCTGATAAAAACATCACAATAATCCACACAACTCCAGTCCATCAATTAATATCTTGTGAAGTGAAAAGCAACATGTTTTTAACTTCAAACGTCTGGCTTCTGACTAAAATATGAACCTTCTATCCATAATATTGCTTTCTAGAGTGAGTTGTCTCATCTGAATCAGGAGGGAAATATACACAAATGAAGCACCATTTACGAGCAAAAACAGTTCTAAAGAAATATGTTGGTAGATTTTTATGTGAGACGACAACAGGGGATGAACTTTTTCACTGGAGGAAACGTTACTATGGATTATGGGCTTGTATTTTGGCCAGTTTAAAATTAAAGTGCCTTAATGATAGATTTGTTTCTTACAAACATGCAGCTTTTCAATTCACAAGATATTAATTGATGAACTGGAGTCTTGTGAATTATTGTGATGTTTTTATCAGCTGTTTGGATTCTGGTTTTGATGAAGAAATAAATTCACCTACATCTTGAATGGCCTGAGGGTGAGTTAATTGTCAGCAAACTTTCATTTTTGGGTGAACTATTCCTTGGATTCTCATCCTTCTGATGAAATTGAATTTTTGTTTGTTTGTTTGTTTTTTAAACAGCGGTACCTAGATGAAGCCGAAAGGGACAAAATGCAATATGCACGAGAACTCAGGGAGTATCAGAAAAGTGAAGCTTATCAGATCACATGTGCAAAAGTTCAGGACAAGAGAATTAAGAGAGGTAAAAATGCTCGCTCTCTCTCTTTTTTTAGGGGGTGTTATTTGCATGCACTTTTCTGGTGATTGTTGTTGTTGTTTTTTAACGAGTATGCTATAATGTGCAATTCAAAATTAGTAATGGTGCAAGTGTTAGTTTTAGAGCGAATCATTTGTTTGTTTGTTTTACAGAGGAGTTGACTTCTGTCATTATCAATGCCAACAGTTCAGGATCTACAGGTTTTAAGGTAAGTATATGAACAAAGCCTGAATTCTCAAACATTCTCGCCCCATTCCTGAAGTAGTAAAGCATGGAAATTGTTCTTGCAATCTGCCTCATGAAACTATTTCCTTCAGAACTCAGACTTAACGACCAGATTTGACGTCCCTATTTTCACAGAAGAATTTTTGGACCAAAACAAAGGTACGTTTTTTTTTTTTTTTTTTTTTTTTTTTTTTTTTTTTTTTTTTTTATGACCTTGTGTTACTAAACCTAGATATTTCCATAGTTTTTTTTTTTTTTTTTTCTTTTACTTTTTTTTTTTTCTTTCTTAGAACAAACCATAAACATGGAAAGCTATATTCTTAAAACTGCGCATTTCCCAGCACGAGAAGCGGAGCTGCGGCGACTGCGCAAGGCTAATGTAGAGTTCGAAGAGCAGAATGCGGTTCTCCAGAAGCACATTGCCGACATGTTCAGCGCTAAAGAGCGGCTGGAGGCTGAGCTGGGCCAGGATGAGCTGCGCACGCAAGCTCTACAGCGCCACCTTCAGGCGATCAAACAGACACTGCTCAACAGCCTGGCCACTGTGCCTTTGCCAGGTCAGTACTGTACAGTGCCCATAATACCAGTACCATGATAGATTATTTTTGTGTTGCAGTGAGAAACAGCTTTGTTTTTTTCTCAGGCACGGGCGAGACACCATCGATTGGAACGCTGGACTCGTACCTGAGTCGCTTGAGTAGTGCTTTAGAGAGCAGGCCTCATGAGCATCGCGCCTTAGTCCTCAAGCTACAAGAGCTCTTGGCTCACCTAGACGGGTAACTATTTCTGCCTCTGGTTTGCGATAGTATGCACCATAAGACAAGTGCTGGAGGAAGTACAAAAATCAAGTACTTGAGGGAAAATACAGATTTCGTAATAACAGGCTCACTCCCAAAAATGAAAATACTGAAGACACTTTGAAACTACCAAACAGTTGATGGTAGTCATTGACTTCCATAAGTTAATGGCTACCATCAACTGTTTGGTTACCAACATTCTTCAAAATATCTTCTGTTGTGTTCAGCAGAAGAAAGAAAGCTTTGGAACAACTTGAGCATGACTTGATGACAGATTTTACATTTTTGGGTGAACTGTCCCCTTAATTACTATTGTACTAAGTATTAAAAGTAAAAACAGGCAAATCTTTTTTTTTTCCTCCATTATTTCTTTTTTATTATTATTATTTGGCTTTTCATAACATGTTATTTCATACTAGTGGAAAGGAAACTTTTTGCAAAAATATTTGTTTTATTACACTTTATCTATTTGGATCTGTAGGTTACATGTCTTTAAAAAATATTGAAATTAGGTTTTTACAAAGGGGTTTGTTCATATGTTATTTGCCTAATTTTATACAACATTTTAATTCTAAAAAAAAATAAAATAAATTTTTTTCCTGGCTGTCAACAGTATTTTCAGATTTTTTGGAGTGATAAAAAGAGATATTCAAAATTTTTTCTTTAAAAACTTTTGACTCTAATATGTCAACAAAAATAGGCCTATACAAAAATATAAATTCAAAAAATGACTGATAGTTCAAGGGTCCAATAAGTGTAAATGAAAAAATTTTGAATTAAATGTGTAAGTTTCCGAAAATAAAAATACTCAAGTACTTAAGTACAGTACGAATGTAAAAATACTTTGTTTCTGTCCATAACTGCATAAGATCATGCATATGCTGCTGGAGATTCATTTATGACCTTGTAAGCTTGTTATCTGATAGACATCTTTTTCTTCTTCTTTATTTTCCTCCAGTGAGAAGCTTTGAAAACATGTCTATAGCTGTGGTGAGATCTAAACGTCCCAAGCATTTGGAAGGCCCGGGACCCCCATGCTCTGCCTCACAAGGTGTAACGGGCCATACGGTTTAATTGGATATTTTTACTCGCCAATAAGCTAATTTGTAACACTGTTGGCGGCGGATTCTAAAATCATTTACATGTAATCTAATGCATCATATTGCTGTTTTGACAATTACAGCAGTTCATTGAAAGACTAAGTCCATTTAGAATCACGGAAAGCATGGTTTAAAGGCATGCTATGTTTTTTTACAAGGTAATATTGTCTTTATTAAGTTGTAATGAAATATAAAGTGCAGCGTTTTACATTGGGTGACCTCTGAACCCTTGCTGCACACTGCTGTGGATTGCAAGAACCTCTTGAGAATTGCTCCATGAATTTTATGAATTTTACTCTAAACATTGAGTAACATTCCTCATCATTATGTTTTCTGAAATAATATTCCTCAATAATGTTTTTTTGTTGTTGCATTCCATTTTGAACGAACCATAAGTCAGTTGGCATTGCAAAGGGTGGTGAATTCTAGCATTAAAATATTTCAGGTGTCAAGAGTTTACACTGCTTTAGTGATGTACTTGAATGGATTTTTTTGGGGGGGGGGATTGTATCAATTATTTTAATATGAAAAAAAACTTGTGATGAAAAAAGATAAAGTCTGGCAATAATTTTTACTTTTTTTTTTTTTTATGATTCCATTACATTATTCAGCTTTGAGCTGTATGTTTATCCAGTAGAGGGTGACATTGGCCACAACATAAAAAATAGTCCTGTACTCTAATGAAAAAAAAAGGAAGTGTTCCCTTAATCAAAAAAAAAAAAGAAAAATACATCTTATACATTAAAAAAAAAATTTTGTATATCAAATTAACAAAATTTTCCTCCAGACCTAAGAATTGAATATGACTTTGTCCATCTTCTCTTACTGAATGCAGCCAAAACGAATGTAAGTCATATAAAATGATTAATAAGTCACAACTGTCATACAATGTATTTTTTAAATGATTTAACTCTTAATACTTTAAATCCAAGAAAAAGTAGGCTATTATTTTATAATTGCAACCACAGTTTTTGAAAGACAATTGCAGTAAAAAATTCTCTGTAGCGTTATTTTTTATTTAATATTCTCATAAAATTAGGAATTGGCATAAAAGGAGATGTTACATAATGTTGCGGACAAACAGCCTCAGTCACCATTCACTTTCACAGCATATTTTTTGACAAGTTAATGGAGTCTGAGGCCGTTGTTCACTCTTCGTTTTTGTTTCACCGAAGAAAGTAAGTCACACGAGTTTAGAACAACATGTCGGTGAGTAATTTATGACAATTTTGGAATGTTTATTTTAGGGTGAACTATTTCTTTAAGTAGGTTTTTCGACGGATTAAAAAGAGGCATTGGACTCTTTCGGACCCCAAAAATTCATTTACAATTAAAACTATATTTTTAATTGCCGAGCATTATTAATTTACAGTTCTTAATCATTGCTCCACACACTTTGGTTAGCCTCCGCTGGGTTAAAGGAGCGGAGAGGCGTCCGCGTGCTCTGCTGCTGTCAGCGCCGCCTGGGTCGTGACGTCACGGTAGTAGCTCTCCTCGCGGCGGCGGTGCTGAACAAGATGGCTGTGCGTCGCGTTACGAGCGGCTGAAAAAACCGCGCTAAAAATCACACAGCCCGACTAACAGCGGTTCACGTCGAGAGGGTGGTTAAACACCCTCGGGTTGAATTATCTGCAGGATTCGGAATAGCAGCTGCTGTTATTTTTGTATATTTTGGGGTAGAGTTTGATAACGGGAAGGGGAGGTTTCTCAACGTAAAAATAAAATCCATACTTCGTTTTAATAGCAGTTTTATTATCTAAAATAACGCAAAAGGACGAGAATAATAATAAATAAAGAGATGTCACTGCTGTGTGTTGGAGGTAAGTAGCCTACGTTATTTCATGCATGGATGCATTACTTAAACCAGCTGTTGGTTATGTATAATATACATGTAGTGTATATATTTAGTCATATTAAGGGTTAAATGTGTCACACCGATTTTAACAAATCACTTGATATCGCATTTAATTAAAATGCATAGTTTACAAGCGCGTACATGCTTTTCAATCTGATCAATAATCGGTTACATATTCGTCCCCTGTGGAGTTTAATATTATTGGTTTGTATTCATGCAAATGAAGCTGAACTGTAAGGTTACAGAATGAAATGTAAGGTAGAAGGAGTGTCCCCTCTGTGCAATGGCTATTTTTTATTATTATTTTAGCTTAATAACTTACTCTTTTATTGCTTTATTTGTCTAGTTATTTTATAAAATGTGCAGTTTGTTCATAGAGATGTACTAGAAATGACTTGCATCAGTGTGGCGAATCCACCCGTGTTTTAAATGCAGCCAGGAATCAGGGGTGTGTTCCCTTGATATTCCAAATGGAGCTTTAGTTTGCTCCTCTGCTCAAATGGGATCTGCTTTGATGTATGATATAGCTATTTTTAACTGTGTTTACTGTATGGTGGTAAAATGAAGTTCAAAACCTTCTTGATGGACAGACAACATTACAGGTGTGATTTTATTTGCCGTAATGGCTATCCACATTTATTGAATGAACTAATATCATATATATTTTTGTATAAAATAAAATCCAATATTTTTTTTTGAATCATGTGGTCTAAATTGACAGATGGATAGATGTATAAATCAGGGGTCTTCAGCATTTTTCAGGCAAGGACCCTTTTGTGGATAGAGAGACGAATATCTGTAACATACTGTATGAAATTAAGCGATGCATTTTAATATTAAAATATTGTAATGATATTTTCACATATTACATGCTTGCATAACAAAGCCATTAAAAATCATTATTGATGTACAGATTTATATACATTTTCATTTCTAAATATTTATATTCATAATTTAATTGTACATTTTAATATTAAAAGTTGAGACACAATGAGACATTTAGCTAAACTTTCGTTTCTTATCTTAAGCTTAGGTTGCATTAAAAGTTTTTTTAACAGAAATTTTTAATATTAAAAATAAGCAACATTGACATTCAGCTGAATGTTCGTTTACCTATGGTTGCATTTGTTTCATGTTAAAAATGTAACACAAATTTGCGATATTTTGATATTAAAAATGAGGCACAACGAGACATTTAGCTTTTTTTTGCAGTTATTTAAATGTCAAAAGTAGCACAATTATTTGTTTATTTATTCTTTTTTTGCAGTTATTTTTGTCTAAAGTAACAATTGCAGTATTTTAGTGTTTAAAATTAAGCACAATGATACCTTAATTTATTAATTTTAGCTTTGGTTGCAATTATTTTAATGTTTGTAATGTATGTTATGTTTCATTTTCATGTAGAAATTAACATTAACCAAGATAATAAATGCAATAAATGCTGTAAAATTATACTTTATTGTTAGTTCATGTTAAATATTGCGTTAGCATAATGCAACCTAGATTTTAGATTTTTTTTATATCAGTGACTGAGAGTATGAATAGTGGCTCCCTGGAAATACATGGTGCAAATCTTTGGCTGAATGTCTTTCATATGCACTTACTGTTAGCCTTTTTGGTCTGCAGTTTGCAATGGACCGCTTACCCGTGTTCGCTTGTCTTGCTCAGTTTCTTGATTGCCATTTAATGCAAGATGACATGCAAATCAGATTGGTCTGTTGTAGAAGATCTGTTGTAGGAGCCTCAGAATTCTAAACGATACTAAGCCATGTTTCTTTGAACACATCCCACACAGACATTCTGATCCATGGCACGTCTGCCACCACTCTGTAATTAAACAGGCAGTGGATTCACAACCAGCGTCCGAAGGTGACAGTGGGTGTGTGGGTGTGTGTCACATAGACTGGCATCGTTCTTGGCACCTGCCTCAGAAACCTGAGCAGATGTACAGTATGGCTTGCCTAATTCCCGCTGGATGTGTTTTGATGATGTCAAAAGTCTTGGATTCCTGTTACATAACCATCTTTTCACCACTTTTCTGTGAATTTTAATGCATCTTTTCTAAGCTCTGTTTAAAATGTCTGGTTTGTGTAAAAGGAAAGCATTCTAAGCTATTAGTTAAAACCTAGTACGGCATGAATAGATTAAAGGAATATTTTGGCAAAAAATATTTACTTCATTGACTTTTCCATACAATGAAACCATTCACTTTCATTTTATGGTAAAGAGCAGCCTGGGCATTCTGCTAAACATATTTTTTGTGTGTTCTCCACAGTGGATTTATACAGGTTTATTGTTTATACGGGTTTCGAATTATGTGTTTTAATTTCTGGATGCACTCTGCCTTTAAGGAACCTGGGCCTCAACTCATTTTCATATTAATAATTGATTAGAACTGCCTGTTTACCCTCCCAGATATATGACTGAATTGTAGTTAACACTAACAACAGTTACCATGTATAATTTAGCTCTGATAGCCTATTGCAGAAGTTGTGGATTTACACAGAGGTATAAAAACTAAATAATTATAGGCAGCTGCAGATACAATATTTCTTTGATAAGTACATTCATAAGAGAAATAACATTGAATCCTCAAGGACGTTCTGTGGAGTTGTATTTATTTGATATTATTCATTAAAACATGAAATTTTGTCGCTTTAAAGCAGTATTGTTATATTGTTAACTGAAACTGTTAAAAAAAAAAAAAAAAAAAACCTTTT